GACCCTGTTTCAAAAACAAACAAAAGTTCCAGTAGGCAAGGAAGGAGGTGCTCATGACAGCAGGCCGGATTCACTATGAGCTTAGACGAAACACCTGTCCCAGCCCTCATTTGCAAAAGGTCCCTGCCAGTAGACACCAATAATGTGTTTACATGATCATTATGAGTCGCTTAAGCAGTGGTTCTCAACCTGTGGGTCGTGACCCCTTTGCGGGAATGAAATGACGTTTTTTTCACAAGGGTCGCTTATCAGATATCCTGCATATCAGATATTTACATTACAACTCATTTTTATTTTGCTTCTTTTTTTTTTTTTTGAGACAGGGTTTCTCTGTGTTCTGCAGGCTGGTCTTGATTTCAGAGAGATCCACCTGCCTCTGCCTCCCAAGTGCTGGGATCAAAGGCGTGCACCACCACCGCCAGGCTATGTTACAATTCATAACAGTTGCAAAATTACTGCTATGAAGATGTAACAAAATAATTTTCTGGTTGGGGTCAGCACAACATGAGAAACTGTACTAAAGGGCTGCAGCATTAGGAAGGTTGAGAACCACTGCGCTAGAGTAAGATATAATGAATTCATCCCCCTAAAGAGGGGCCTCAGAATCCATATGGCCCCGGTCTGCCCTGTGTCAGAGGCAGGAGGAGGTCAGAGGCAGGAGGATGACTGACAGTCACTGTGCTGGCCATCTCTCTGAGACTACTATAAAGGGGAAGGAAGGTTGATAGTTTGGTCTGCTTCAGTCCATGGTCAGCTGTCCACTGCTTTTTGAAGCTACGGTGAGGCGTTCGTTCTATAGGTGCTGGAGTGAGGGGCAGAGGGAGGAACTCATCAGGAAGTGAGAGGGGTAGGGCAGATCAGAATCCTAATATCCCCTCTAAGAGCATAGCTCCAAAGACTGTGTTTCTTGGCAACACCTCTTGAAGGTTCCAACAGCCTTCAAGTCACACCCCAGACTGGGGCCCAAGTCTTTATCAGACGTGCTGCTGAGGGACACTTACACAAACTACAGCTTTTGCTAAGGACACTGAGTGGGGGAATGGAAGCATGGGGCTCCAGTCTGGGCAGCATCTCATTCCTTTCGAAAAGCTCCGTAGGCTCACAGCTCTCAGCTCACGACTTCCCTTTCTGCTTTTACATCTTCTGTGCAAATGAAGTCACAAGAGACATTCAGCTGTTACAAACTTCACATCAAGCTTTGAAGTGCTCTTTAATAGCAGAAATATTTGGCTCACGTGTGAGCTTTGCAGCTACAGTAAATACCTCTTAGCTATCTGTCGCTACTGTTATTCCACACCTCCAATTTGGAGGAGAAATTCTGCATATGCATTGAGGCGCTAGAAAAGAATACTGAACTGTATCTGAGCTCTTTTGTGAATGGCTCCCTTTAATTTCTTCTCTCATGGAACTAATACCGCCACCGCATTGTACTGGTTCTGGGTGGGGAAGCAGTGGGCAGAGAGAGGAATGCTCATGGCTGTGCTACCAGCAAGTGACCGGTCAAGAGCTCCTTACTATAAGATCACATTTATTGAGTCATTCACCTGACCTCCCTAAACCTCCCCCCACCGTGTGTGTGTGTGTGTTGGGATGTGTTTATGAATTATGTGTGTTGGGGGTGTGTATGAGGTGTGTGTGTGTGTGTGTTGGGTGCGTTTGTATGAGTGTGTATTAGCTGTGTGTGTATATGAGTGTATGTGTGTTGGGGGAGTGTGTATGAGTGTGTGTGTGCTGGGGGTGTATAAGTATGTATGTCTTGGGGTGTGTATGAGTGTGTGTGTGCTGGGGGTGTATAAGTATGTATATCTTGGGGTGTGTATGAGTGTGTGTGTGTTGGGGTGTGTATATGACTGTGTGTGTGTGTTGGGGGGATGTATAAGTGTGTGTGTATTGGGGGTGTGTAAGAGTGTTTGTGTGTGTTGAGGGTATAAGTATGAATGTATGTGTATTGGGGGTGTGTTAGAATGTGTTGTGTTGGGGAGTGTATGAGTGCTTCTATATTGGGTGTGTTGGAGTGTGTGTATGAGTGTATGTGTGTGGGTGTGTGTTTGTGGATGTGTATGAGCGTACGCACCTAAAGGCTACAGGTCAATGTTGGGTGTCTTCCTCAATCACTTATCTACCTTATTTTATGAGCTAGAATCTCTTACTGAACCTGGAGCTCACCTGATTGGCTAGACTGGCTAGCCATCAAGACCCAAGGACATTCCTGTCTTCACTTCCCCAGTGCTAGGATTACAGGCACATGCCATAGTTGTTTTAACATGGGTGCTGGGGATTTGAACTCAGGTCCTAAAGGTTGGACGACAAGCTGTTGACCAACTAACTGAGCCATCTCCCAGCCCCACCCTGCTTCTAAAGTATCTTTACTTTAGAAGACTTCAGATAAAAATGCTCGGAGTGAGACGGAGAACAAGGAAAGAGACATTCTGATTGAGGGAGCCATTATGGGGCTAAAGAAATCTGTCACTAGAGAAACTCCCAGGAATCCATGAAGATGACCCCAGCTAAGACCCTAAGCAATAGAGGAGAGAGTGCCTGAACTGGCCTTGCCCTGTAGTCAGATTGATGACTATCTTAAATATTATCATAGACCCTCCATCCAGCAATTGATGCAAGCAGAGGCAGAGAACCACAGCAGAGCATTGGGCTGAGCTCCCAGAGTCCAGTGGTAGAGAGGAAAGAATGAAAATACGAGCAAAGAGGTCAAGACCATGATGGGGACACCCACTGAAACAGCTTACCTGAGCTAATGGGAGCCTTCCAACTCTGGTCCGATAGTGAGGGAACCAGCATAGGACTGAACTAGGCCCCCTGAATGTGGATGACAGTTGTATGGCTGGGGCAGACTGTAGGGCCACTGGCAGTGAGACCAGGATTTATCCCTACAGTTTATTCTGGCTTTTTGGAACCCCTGCCCTCTGGAAAAACACCTTGTTCAGCTTAGATATAGAGAGGGAAGGCCTTGGTCCTGCCTCAAAGCAATGTGCTAGACTTTGTTGACTCCCCATGGGAAGCCTTACCCTCTTTGAGGAGAGGATGGGGATGGAATGGGGGTAGTGAGGGGGAGGGAGGAAGGTGGAAGGAGCAGGAGGAGGGGAGGGAGTGGGAAATGTATTTGGCATGTAAAATGAGAAAAGATAGGTTTCTTTAAAAATAAATTTAAAAAAACGCTCTGAGTTTTTACAGAAGGGGAAACTAACCACAATTAGTCTGTGATAAAAGCAGAAAAGGAAAATAAAACAAACCCTCCCCCCCAAAAAAAAACAAAGAGAAAACAAGCTTCTCATTAGGGAATCCTGTATGACTATTGAAACGCAATCTCTACGTCTTTATGTCCTGCCATGTATCAGAAGAATACATTTAGAAATAGCATTCTTGAGAGGAGACACATTTGACTAGGGGCCAGGCACTAAGCATTCGGGAGCTGCCCTGTGCCAAACAGCAACATTTTACATAACTTAATAATTTTATGAAGAGACAACAGAAAATTCTATTGCACGTCCCAAGTTAAACACTTGACATTTCATTCTTTAAAATGCAACATTTTAGAAGTCTAAATATGTTTATTAATTAGTGATTATTAACACTCAGTAAACAACATTATGTCTTGTAAAAACACAATCTCACTGCACAGCGTGAAGCTGAAATCTATTATTCCCTGATTCCATATGCTGAAATACACTCAAATGGTCACAAATGACCTTAAGCATTAAATAAATGTAAATGAGAACAACATAGAAAATGCACTTTTGATTGATAACTAAAAGACCAGGTTGAGAAGCATGTCCCAAAATGAAGTCTTTTCCAGAAGGAGATGGAACCATAGAGGCAGGGCTTGGCTGAGTCTCCCTCCCGAGTGCTCAGATCACAGACATATGCCATCGTGCCCAGCAGCACTTTGGTTTTTATCCATTGTGTCTGTTCATTCAACTGTTTTTCTCAGACTACACAGTCAGGGTAGGCAAGTGTCCTCGATATAGAGAAAACCTAAAACACTAAGGGATGCCAAAGTAATAGTGAAAGATGAAATAATTCCAAATGGAACTGTTCCTGTAACGAGATCTGTAGTTAAATACACAAAGGGAGACAGATACAGCCATTTCGTGAATACTAATGGTGGCATTCTCTTTCTAGGTCAGCTGGCCACAGGGTGGGCATCACACAACATGCAGTGGTTCTGCCTGGAGAAGAATGGACAGAATTAAAAGGAACAGGACCCCTGGACTGGTAAAACCATCAATAGATCAAGGTGTCTTAGGTGCCGCACTATTGATGGCCTGGGCCAGATGCTTTCGTATTTTGAAAGCTGACAATGAGTGATCTCCACCATGAAACATCAGGACCAGCAGAAACCAGTAGCAACATTGTCCACTCTGACCCCAAGTCATGACAAAAATAATTATTTAAAACAAAAGTTCCCAGGAACTGCCAGAATCCCCTAGGGGTGCAAGACTGTCTAAGCAGAGGGTCACTGGAAGCACTGAAGAAGGCCTCAAGCTGGGCTTTTCTCAACCTCACTCTGCATAATCTTAGCCAGAAAGTGGGCCGGAGATGGCTCAGTGGTTAGGAGCACTGGCTGCTCTTCCAGAGGACCCAGGTTCAGTTCCCAGAACCCACAAGGCAGCTTACACCTGTTTGAAACTCCAGTTCCAGGGGATCTGACACTCTACACAGACCTAAGTTCAGGTAAAACACTAATGCACATAAAAAATAAGATGAATTATTCCCGAGCCACGAAGTGACCCTAACTCAGCGAATAATACATTATTTGAGTGTTCTATACTATATGGAGTTTTGGTGTTCTCAGCTACTGAATGGAGTGTCTGCCTGCCTGAGGGGAGTGTCACAGGACACACATGCAGTGCTCAGAACGGTGCCTGACACACAGTAAGTGCTCAGCTAACATTATCTGTTATTACTGTATGAATCCATAGCATCAAGAAGGCCATTTCAGCTGCGATGTTTCAAATCAGACAGGAGGCGGAAGGATATCTTACCGGCTTGACACTTTCTGAGCCTTAAACACGCCCGTCTTCCGATTGCTTGTGATGATGCTGTCCACATCTACAGGGCACAGTTAAGGAAACTTTTGCAGTGGCTATCAGCTGACTGAGAAAGAACCTGAAACACACTGGCTTCTTACCACAATGGGATCAACGCAGAAAAAAGAAGGGAGCGGTCGATGCTGTTGCGTGAAATGCCAACTTACCGCTGGCAAGATCTTTTTGTACTCCAGCTTGCAACTTTACTGCCCATGGAAGGAGCATCTAGGTAACATCACGGCAGGACCCAGAGGGTATAAGCTAGAGGGCACAGCTGGGGAACATGAGCTGCTACGCCACTTCCCCAGGGCAATCAGGCAGCCAAAGACAGATGTCCTTCGGTCAGTGAGGAGAGCAATGGCTTTCCGAATTGAAGTGGTTCCAATCTCCTAACCACCTGTAGGGGAGGGAGAAGAGCAGCAGGGGCAGTGTTGGAAGGAGGAAAAGAGAGGTGGAGAAAAACTTGGAGCATCTTTGGGAGAAGATGCAGCACCGGTGAAGAAAGCCATCCTAGTGAGGGGTCCCTTGAAACTTTGGCCTCTGGCCAAGTGCTGGCGAAGAAGACTCATGCTGAACAGCCACGTTTATATTAGAGAAACTCTGCATGACATCCAAAGACCCTTGGGAAAACTCACATCTGGACTTCAGATCTACAAAGGGCAGCATGGGTGTTTATGAGCGCCGCTGTTTCTCTCTTTGCTCTGGACTGGCAAAGCCTTCTGAATAGACTAACACCCAGGCACTCCTGCAGACTTATTTTCTGTACTGACCTCTGTCCCTGGCTTCCCCTGGTTTCCTAACTTCTGAATACCCCCACCTTCTCATGTATTTGACACATTTCCTCTAAGACACCTCGCAATCCCTCTTCTGGAGGAAGGCAAGTTTAAATAAACAAGAACTCAAAGAATTCTAGTGAAGGCTGCAAGCTGAACGAAATTGGGCCCATGGGGAGGACACCAGGCAGACAGCGATGTTCCCCTATTGCTCGGAAAAACAGATTTCCTGAATGTTCAAAGCAAACACTGGCCAAGATCTCCCTGCCAGAACAGAACCGCAGGATTCTTAAGCCCAAAGCTCTGCTGGAACCACCAGGTACACCCATTCTTCTCCGAGTGAATAAGCAGGTACCGTGTGATAGGGAGGAAAAATCAATTAGGTCCCCTAGTGACGGGCTTTGTGGAGGTTTACAAAAGTGCCATAATGCAGACTTTTTTTTCCCCTGGGTGAACTTTCCTGTATGCAAATTAAATACCGTTAAATTACATTCATTAAAAAAATAAAGGAGACTAATTTGCCTACTTGTTTTGATGAACTAAAATGACACATCGGCCTACAGTTTCTGTCTATTTCAGGAGCGTTCTAGACGGAATAGCTTGCAGGAAGGGACGCCTGACATCTTCCTTCTGAGGAGCACAAAATTAGTAGAGTCAACTGACAACTGTTTTTTATTAAGTCCCCTCCCCTAGCCACACCCTATTCTGCGTTTCCATGGCACCCAACTGCCTGCCATTCTGTGCCGGCACACCTGTAGCGTCCCATGAGTGCATGACTAATCTATCAAGCAAAACATATTATTTTGTTAGTAGAGGTAATACTTTTTTATAAAATAGTCTCAGGGAAGCTAAATTATATAACCCGGAAAACCTATTAATAATTTTTAGTAAACATCTTAACACTATATACTTTATACAATTGAGAAACCCGTGACCCTGGGTGGTCAGGCTGGGGCGAGCGTGGTTATTTCAGTTCCAAGAAGTTATTTTTCTTAAAGGAGAATTTCACAGTGGTATTTAGGCTGCTTTATTTTTAGAACAGGGCAGAAAATATATTTTGAGGTTTAGAAGGGCTTTTAAAAATATATCAAGAGAATCACAAGAGAAAAGACGGCAGCGCTGTGTTAAAACATTACCTGAAGAGATAAACTCTGATATTCTCCCTCCCCACCCCCCATAGGTCAGATTTTGATGGTCTTTCTGGATGGCACTGTGTCCAATAATAGATTTTATCAACTCCCCGTGTCACCTCGGGGTAATAAAGGAAATCCAATCAAACTGAGTCAATATGACCAGGATAATGTTCAACACAACAGACCCAATCGTGCTCTGTGATCTGCATCCACTTTCCAGAAGGTCTCAGTGGGAGGGGCTGGCTGCCAGGGAAGCCTTCCTGTGGTTTCTGGATGAGATGGGATGGGGGAGCTGTCTCAGTCCCCTTGTCAAGTCAACTGCTTGTGGCTCAACAGGAGCCAGATTTCTGCGTCTAGTGTCCTTCTAGAATGCTCCGGAAACGCCAGGAGGGATGTTTCATTTCAATTATCTGTTTATTTTTATTCTTAAAATATATACTCATATACAATACCAACAAAGGCCGTTTAAGTCAATTGCATATATTATAGGTATATAAAATACGAGTGCCACTGTGTAACCGGTAATTGTATGTATCAATTGTATATACATTGGGAATCAGCTTATTATTTTTAAATTATTTATTTTATGTGTATGGGTGTTTTGCCTACATGTATGTATGTGTACCATGTGTGTGCCTAATGTCTTTGGAGACCAAAAGAGGGCATCAGATCTCCTGAGATGGGAGTTACAGACAGTGGGGAGCCATCATGTGGGTGCCAGGAATTGATCCCAGGTCCTCTGAAGATCACCCATGAGCTATGTGTCCAGCCCCAATATTGTTCTGTAGAAAAAGATTTTATTTTAAATTATGTATCATGTGTGTCTGTGTGTGGGCATGTGGATATGTGTGTGTGTGTGTGTGTGTGTGTGTGTGTGTGTGTGTCCTGCAGAGACCAGAGGTGTTGAATCACCCCTGGAACTAGGAACCAATCTGGAGTCCTCTGGAAAAGCAGTAGACACCCCTAACTATTGAGACATCTCTGCAGCCCAGTATTGTTCTTTGAACCAAAAAATATTTAAAAAATAACACTGTGATTCATGAGGCTTTGTCTTTTGATTTATATTGTCGTTGATTTCATTGGGGAATTAAAAGGGAGGGAAGAACACTAAGATTATAACATAAATCCTATTTTTAAACTATTTTTCTTTCTTTTTAAGATTTTATTTTTATGTGCATGGGTATACACATTGTCAGTGAGAAGGTGCCAGATTCACTGGAACTGAAGTTACAGGCAGTTGTGAGCTGCCACATGGGTGCTGGGAACTGCTCGTCCTCTGGAAGAACAGCCAGTGCTCTCAGCCTCTCCGCCCTCTCTCCAGCCCGACATAAATTCCATTCATTTTGATCTAAATGACTTTTTTAAATGTTCAAAAAGCAGCATTTTTTTTCTGCTTTAAGGCTACATACTACTCTTTTTTGTTCTGTTTTGTTTTTTGAGACAGGGTTATTCTGTGTAGCCCTAGCTGTCCTAGAACTTGCTCCATAGACCAGGCTGATCAAACTCAAAGATCTGCCTGCCTCTGTCTTCCGAGTGCTGGGATTAAAGGTGTGCGCCACCACCACCTGGCTCTGAACCACTCTAAAATCTGTTCCTTACTCCAACAAATTGAGAGTCGACACCCAGAAGCCACCAAGTCTGCTAGCAATGACACCTTGCCACTTGTTACATTTATGCATGACAGGCTTTTTTTTTTTTCATCATCAGATGCTGAGGAAATACAAGACAACACTCACCCAAGTATTCTTCACGACAACACTCACCCAAGTATTCTCACCTGTGGTGAACCAGAGTCATTTAGAGGCCTGGCAACAGGCCATGCAATAAGAATGAAGCTGGCTTCTTATGCTGGTTTTGAAACTTACTGCTGTGTGACCATGGGCCCAATGTCTCTGAACTCCAAAACTAAATAGGAACAGTGCTATCTATTTAATAGATATCATAAATTAGATCTAGAGGTATAAAATATATCTCTATATAAATGGTATATATAGATATATATCTATATAAACTATATCTATATAAATGATACATAGATAGAAAATATATCTATTTTATAGATAAATTTTAGTAAGTCTATTTTATAGGCTTATGGGGTCTCCCACAGGACAGATTCAAGACATAGTGGGTGCGTAACTCATGCCAAGTTTATCATTTTTTGAATAATCCAACCTAAAATGTTTGGTGGAATAAAAAGGCTAGTGGTTGCCCCTAAACTGAAGCTTCACACTGAGTCTCTCCTCCGGAAACTCAAGAGTTAATTATGGGACTATTTACCTTAGATCTGAAAGAAGTGGAGGCATCAACCAACTTTTGCCCTGCACCCTTTCTATGTGGCACCATGTTCTCAACATGGCAAAAGTTGTGTCCCTAGTGGGTGGGAACGTACTGTCTTACTCACCATTTGAAAGGCTAGGCTGTGGCTTAAGGCTGGAGTGATTGCCTCCCGTGCTGGAGGCCCCAGCTGGCAGCCTGGGGAAGGGAAGGGAGACGCCATCTGACCACTGCACAGTGAGGCTCATAGGGCTCACGTGTGCCTCACAGAAGATGGAAGGCTGGCATCACAGGACGATGGCCTGGGATTTGCAAGTTCTCTGCCAGCCCCAGCACAGGCTGCACCACACCCACGATGCTCTCTACTCATTCATTACACAAGCCAGGGATTCTATATTAAAAATGGCAAACCTGGGCATCTCCTGTAAAGAGTGATGGGATTTACCTGGCTTTGGAGACTCCTGAGCCCTAAGTTGAGTCTATGCACACAAACCACTGGGATAAGAACACAGAACACTGCTCCAAGCACAGGAAGATTCTGAAGATAACACTATAGATGTTGACAAGAGATGGGCCAAGGTTGGGTGTTTGAGGCGGATCAGTTAGTGACCATGGCCAACCACGTTGTTTTATTTTTTCTTTTCTTCCTATCTTCCTTCCCTCTTTCCTTCCTTTCTTTTTTGCTTTGAGTCAGGGCTGCACATAACCCAGGCTGGCCTTGAACTCCTCATCCTCTTGCCTCCAGCTCCCAAGTGCTAAGATTATAGACAAGTACTCTATACCCCAGTTCTACTTCTACTCAACATGGCTTGCATAAGGCTTTGCAGCAACCAGAATTTAGCCTGCCATCTTCCTCCCCTTTTCTTCTCCCATGGTCTTCGCCAGCTACACACCTAAGTAGTTACTATGTATGAATATTTAGGGGTTTCTTCCCTTACTGCACTAAAAGGGAAAATGCCAAAGGGCATTTTTGTATACTATTTTAAAATAAATTTGAGGGGCTGGAGAGATGGCTCAGTGGTTAAGAGCACTGGCTGCTTACTTTGATCGCCAGCACCAGAGAGTGGTTTATAACCATCTGGGACTCCAGTTCCAGGGGATCTGGCGCCCTCTTCTGGCCTCTGTGGGCACCAGCTATGCACACGGGACACGGACATGCCCGCAGGTCAAACACCCATTTACAAAATTAAAATAATAATAATTAAAACAAAATTGAGAACTGGGTAGACAAGATGATCCCATTTTCTTCTTATCTCTTATATTCTTGTGGGGCACAGAAGAAATGGTATCTTTAGGGAAAGATGGTTTTCAGGATGGGGATTCCTGGATTAAAGTCAGTACCTTAAGGACTAAGAAAAACTTCAAGGAAACCTACTCATGAGTCTGAGAAAATATTCAAGATATAAAGTTCCTTTTAGCTCAAATATTTTATTATTATTATTATTATTATTTAGACAAACCTCTTTGCAGTGAATCTCAGATTCATGGCTAGCTTCCCAGGGTCACAGCAGAAAGATAAACGGCCACACAATTGGCTAACATGCTTTTGTGATCTATAGGTCCAGACCCAATCTCTCTGCTGTCTCACATATTAAAAATAAAACAAGCTGAAATAAAATAACAAAACATTCTATTCTTCCTAAAGAATAAAAAATAAAAATCAGAATGGCAGAAGCTTAAAGAGACTAGGAAATAAACTGGTTGGATTCATTCCATTCAGAAGCTGAAGAACAACGGAACAATGTTAAAATGATGAGACTAATACACAGGCGAATACCCAGGCGACGAGTGACTGCCAGGTCGATTTTTATCATTTCTCTGGTGTGTTCATTTGTTTCTTAATGTGCTCATCTTGCCCATTAAGAATAATTAGCAGCTTTGCTTAGAGATTTGTTGGCTTCTGGCAATGTTTCCCCCCACACACACTTTTTTTGTTGTTGTTGTTGCTATTGGCATCCACCTTTCCTTTTTAGAAAGTAATTTTTGGGTAATTTGCTGTATAATTTGGGTTTCCTAAAAATTTAAGGGAAAGACATAAACAGTGATTTCTAAATGAGTTGTTTGATCTATATGCATCGACAGTATGTGATTTGGTGAATGAGTTGTTCTTCCAGAGGGGGCACACAAACGGGGAGGGGATTCACTCATATTAACCTCACTCAGCAAAACAGATTACAAGGCATGCCTATTGTGAGCTGTTTGCAAATCAAGAACAACATTAGTATTAAAAGCAGGAAGCCACATTGCCAATTTTAAGGCTTTTGCATGCTTTTTTCTCTTAATTAAAATAAATTAGATCTACTTACAACAGAAAAAGGCACACAAACATGGAACGAGCCATCATAAAAACCCAACCCTATCAGGAAGGTCCTAAGAGATGAAATAAAAACGCAGGACCAGTTTAGGCTGCATCCTGAAAGGACCTACTTCATCTGCATTGTAAGGTTCTCCCTCCTGCCCTTTGGCACCCCGCTATATTAAACCCATTGTAAAACCCAGCACAATAAAGCACTCACGGGGCCGAGCCTCTGAGGACCAAATGTTAAAAATCCATTTTCTTGGGAGGGGGCTGTACCAATCATTTCTTTGAAAGGCCGGCAGAGTGAATGGCAGAATCTGAGATTTCCTCTCTGATTTCAGGAGCTGGCATGGCATCTCTACTGCTTAAAGCGAAGGTGCGATAGTAATTAATGACATTAGCCTCGCTTCCCTCCTTTGGACACTCTGCAGTATGTAGTTCAACCATAATTTTAGTACAGTTAAATTTCCATACTGATTCTGGATGCTCCCCACAGTTGGATGATAAAAAGTTCTAATTGATTTCTGGTGCCTTTAAATAAAGTCACTTGGCGACTTCAGGGGGGCGGGGAAAGATCCGAGGGTACTGGGCCCAGTCTGAAAGTTTCTGTGGCCAAAACATCTCTCTCTTGTTCGATATCCCCGTCTTTCTAAACTCAGAAAAACACCGTGTGGGCTGAGCTAGTATACCTGAGAGCTCCCCTCGCTCTGTGTTCCCTGACAAGGAGGAGCACAGAGAAATGATACGGGCACAGAAGGAACCAGAAGAAAGAAGCGTGACTGGAGCGGCAGTCGCCTTCAGGAATATTTAGAGAAACTTGCCAGTCTCAAGATCATGATTAGAACCCTATGTTTAAAAAAAGGAAGCGCCTTTTGTGATCTCTTTCCCTGGTGTGAAAGGCAAAGATTGTGATTGGCTGTTTTCCCTTCCTGAAATTTTTTTTTTAAAGAGCTGTCAGGCAATTAGCTGGGTGGGGCTCTGCAGAGCTGCAGAACAATATTAGCGAGCAAGCTTCTCAGTCCTCCTTCCTCCATGTGAGCAGCTGATAGAGCTGCTGGGAATTTTATTTTCGAAAAAAAAAATTACAGAGCAGAGGAAGGAGGAAAGGAAATCAAAAATAGGCTTTATGTAAAATGCCACAAAATTCAAAGCTACTTCAAGTCTTTGAAGGGCCTGAAAATTCAAATAAGGGTCCTGCCTTCCTCACCGTGTCAAAAAAAAAAATCCAAAGCAAACAGATCTTCCACCACTTTTCCTCTCAGTTTCTAACGGCTGTTAACGACACGGAGCACATCAGCGAGGCGGCCAGAGGAGCCATAAATTGTGCTTCCTTCCTTAGTTAAAGTACAGTTCAATTTCCTGAACTCTGTGTACATATTAGGAAAGCGTAATCTAATATAATGGGGTTTGAACTGTAATAGCATAGCAGGAGAAAAAAAAAGGAGATAGCATTTTAATCCCAAATAAAAGGAGATCATGAAGGAACGATAGCTGCTTCCAGTGGGGGAACATAGGCAAGTCCTTAGCAATTAGCATAGGTGCAGGACGGCGGGCGTGTGCAATATGACAGGCTTGGAAGCTAGACATGAACATTTCCAGGCAACACCAAATAAAGTAAATAGCAATTTTAATCTGGGTTGGGCTGGAAGACCTTACTGAAAATAAAGAGCGAGAACGCTTCGAAATTATGAAATAAGATTTTGAATTGCCTCGAGAGGCGCACAAAACATCGGCTCCTTCAGTGAGAAGTGTCTGTAAGCCCTTAAAAAAAAAAAAAAAGAAACATATGCAGTCAACCGCAGTGAGTCCATATATTTCTAGCTTTTCTTAATTACTGATCATGTGTATGGGGAGCTCTTTTTTAATGCCCCGTGCTGTCTTTCTTTCTACCAATTGTTACTCAGCCCGGGGGGGGGGGGGGGGGGGGGGGGGCGCAACAAACCGGCTTTCTATCTGAATAAGGATACTTCTGATGGCCTTTTCATTCCCATCAGTTAACAGAACTTCTTTGACATCTGCAGAAATAGCAACCTGGAAAGAGAGAGAGAGGAAAAAAAAAAAAAAGAATAGAGCAAACAAGGAGCAAATACGCTTGTCTATGCGGAAGTGAAGACAGCAGTGACAAGCCTTCAGTATCATGCTACCTCACCTATTCCTCTGTAACAATCTTCAATCTTTTTTCATTTTATGTCTGCATTATTTTAATCATTCAATCAAATCAGTCAATACTTTTATCATTCCATTTGCGGGAGCCTCTATCTTGCTATCATTCTGTTGGGTAATTGCATTGTGACAGCGGATGATGGCATTCTGAGAGGCTTTCATTTGTGGGCTCCTGTTTATCTAGTAGAGCCATCATACAAGGCTGTCACTCTGCCTTTCAGCCCGCTGCTGTCTGGCTGCCTGATGCCCTTCATATAACTTTGCATTGCAGGCAGATGGCTTTGTGAGGCTAATTTTTTTGTGAGCTTTGACATGCTCGCACATTGGGCTGTAACCTCGACACATTGTATAAGAGCGACAGGTTTGTCAAATGCCAATCAGGGTAACAATATGCTTTTATTTGTAGAGACATAAAAACTTGTCTAGTGCACTGTACTGCTACAGAATATCTCCCGAATACATGACTCAGAACCCAGAGAATGGGGAAACGACGCTCCTGAATGGCCAATCTAATTCAAAAGAATCTAATTACGGAGCGCTCTGGATCATGTTTGTTGGTGTAATAACGCAGGCAAAACATTAGCAGCTATCTCATGCGCTCCAACTGTGATTCGCCAGGCTATTCCTGTATCTTAGCAAATGGGACTATAATCTGAAAAAAAAAAAAGCTTTCGCTATGGCAAAGAAAGACTGCGCGAGGCCTGGAATGTCACAACAAGCGATATTGACTACACTGAGGTAAAATGTCTCTGCTCATCGAGGCAACCATAAAATCAATATGATCCGAAAGTAAGTCAATCTAGAAGGGTCTCTCAAGACCCGGCAGCTTGACCGCAGCTGATGCTGTGGACGGTTCTCTGACCCAGCAGTTGGAGGCCCTGGAAATTTTTTCTTTTGTTCCTCCCTCTGAATGGGATTGGAATTGAGAAAAGACCTACCATGAGCCCAGCCAAGCATGTCATGCCACCCCCGAGCTCACACACAGCAAGGTCCCTGAAAGAGAGAAAGAAACGGTAGAACCCATACAAATGAGATGAAATGGCCAGAGCCACATATATGTTACAGGAACAAATCGCCATCTGCGGTAAGGACGACACTACCGGGGAGTTGTGGGGATGCGACTGGGCTGCCTCATGTCGTTTTGCGTTTTAAAAATAATTATGAAATAGAGAAGTCACAAAGCAGGCAAACCAGTGGGGGTCCCTTCATTAGTGTTCACTGCAACGTTGCCACCGCTGAGCTGAAAAATCCGAGAAGGTTCCCTTTCTCCCCTTGTCAATGGTGCTGTCTTTTAGAACTAAACTAGCTAGAGTAGCGAAAGATAATTGTCAGGAAAGGATAACATCGTTAATCCACATTCATGCCTTCAAAACCAGTTAGACGAGTAAACGAAGAATATATATGTGTGTGTGTGTGTGTGTGTGTGTGTGAACTTACGTTAGAGTCACACACAACACACAAATAAATGCAATCTTGGTTTTTTTTTTTAATTCTTTAAAGAAAGCTGAAACAGTTTGGAAGCTGAGCCACCCCCATAAAGCACAATTACACAAAGAGCATTTAGCAATTAACCCTTAGATCACAACTGACCCAGCACAACTGCAACAAATAAGCAAGGCAGGGAAGGCACAGGGTTAAGCCAGCGGACCTGAAGTCCCGGCTGGGCTCAGAGGGAAGGCTGGGTGAGCCATTCTACACCTACCTTCCCCCTTTGGGCTGAAATATCAGCCCTCAACGTGTGATATTCTCGCCCTGGCCCACTGCTTGCTGGCTGGAGTTTAAGCATAGCGAGATTAGGAAATGCCAGCCTTCAGGGCAGCCATGTAGCCCTGATCCAGGGCTACCCTCTTTAGATGTTATATGCTTAGGGTCTTAACACTGTTTGTTCCTCCCAGTTTGAGAAGTTGACTATCCCACGAGGGGGGGAAAAAGCAAAATGAAAGGGGGTGGTGGTGAAAGAGGGCATTCATATTAGGAAATATTTGAATGTGTATTTAGTTATTCAAAGCAACCACAGACTGCTTGGTAAGTATGGACCCAAAGAGCTTCAAAAATTACATGGTATCAACCCAAGCGTGTAAGGACATATGGTTAAAACACACCATGACCACCAATGGTGTATTATGAAACATGATGGACTATTAGGGAAGTGTATATAGGATGCTCATAAAAGGACAATTAAAATAGAAAAAAAAATTGAACTTTCTGGTTGTACCAAAGAGCTCCAGAATTTTTAAGTAAAGAATCTTTCCCCCTCTTTCCAAAGTCCCAGGAAATCATGGTTTGATACATAACACATATTAACAGCTGAGATTATTGATTTCTTTAGTATAGTAATTTATATTATACATATTGTCAAGGACACAAGAAATACCTTTAAAACTAGAACATCTTCAAGTAATAGCCATGAGGCTTTGTCAAAGGCACCGGTGACTTCCCCAGCAGAAGTTAAAGAATGTGTTTATCGTGGGGACCCTTTTCTTTTTGACCTTCACAATCAGCAAGGATTGATTGCGCCTTCCCTTTGTTTCCCCCAAATCAAAGCGAAATAAAATGCCTCGAGTGAAAATCAAAAGCCTTTGACACACAGCAAAAAGCTTGCTGTGCAGAGCTGTGCAGAGCTCACACCCCACGGCAATGCAGATCGGCCTCAGAAGCAACACGTGTTCACAGCAACTTCCCTTTTCTCTTCCTTCCTCTCAATAATTTACAGCTTGAAGGCCGTAGAGTGGACCTTTTTTTTTTTTAATTCACAGATTCAATAACCATGATAAGCTAAACAAATATCTTTTAAGTGTGGCTCTTACCTGAATATATTTCTGTGCTTGAGGCAGTAGTAAGCCAAAACCTCCTCAGCTGGCCAGATGCCTGGAAACACAAGGGCGGAGATATTAGGATAACACAGTCTTCTTCTTCCAGACTAGCTTTTAAAAATGAAGACTCGGGACAGGCCATTGCAACTCGAACCAAACTTAATATGGTGGCTCTGTGCCTTGCGCCAGATCATGAATTTCCTTGGCTGTTATTTTCATAACGGCCGACGTTATGACCTCTCCCCAGGGTGACAGCAAAATGGCCTCCAGAAACTTTGCTACACTTCAGTCACAATAAAACAGAAAAACTATGAACAACCAACGTTACAGATATCAGAAGTTAAATGTGGATGGTAGTTCAAGTGGATTTTAATCTTATTTATGCAAAATTAAGACACATAAGTTGAAGACTTGCTATATATGTAGTTCCTGTAGCTGGGGAAGAATGGGAAAAAACTCACTTTAAGGGGCAAATAAAATTGCTGAAGTCATTCTATATTGGGGGGGTTGTTTGAGACAGGGTTTCTCTTTGTAGCCCTGGCTCTCCTAGAACTTGCTCTGTAGACCAGGTTGGCCTCGAACTTGGAGATCTATCTGCCTGTCTCTGCCTCCCAAGTGCCAAGATTAAAGCCTTGTACCACTATCACCCAACTTTCTACACCTTTCCATATTAATGCCTTAAAAATATCCACAATTCCTTCATTACTCTAATTAAAACATCAAACTGCAGTATAAAATTGAGACATTAATTTCACCAATTTTGGCATGCCTTTAAATCCAACAGTAATCCTATACACTAAACTGCCTGGAAAGGCATTTCCAAAGATCATCACTTATACATTTATTGAGAAGACAAAGTTCAAGAATAAATATGAATTGCTTCCCAGATAAATATATTGGAAGTCATAGTTACTGGTGGTTATCATAGGATGGTCAGATTATGTGGGCTCTTAATATTTTCTCTATACTTTTTTGTGTTTCCAAAATTTTTACAAGGAGCTTATATTACCTTAGATATGATTAGAATAAATTATAGCCGCATAAAAGTCATGGCTTCCTCCAAGGAATCAGCCTTAGCCATCAATTAAGGGACCCCCCACTGGGTTTCCTTCCTGGGGGGTTAAGGATGCTCCATGGCCCTGGGAAAGAGTGGCCATATCTCAGCACTCGGCACAAAGTTAAAAACATTGAAAACAATTGATTTTTCTTCCGAGATGAGCCTCAACATAAGAAATGTAAACATTTCAGAGAAGAGGATGTGAAGAAATGAGAGCAACCAAAGACAGTGGATGGATGAGTTAATGACAAGGAAAAAGAGGTTGCTCCAGCAGGCACCTTACAGGAAAGCCCCACAGGGCCTTTCTACTCCAGTCTCCCGGCATTTTCAGTAGCAAGGAAACCATGGGAAAGAACAAAGAAAAGCAGCAAGAGGTGTTTGGAAACACATTTGGAGGGAAGGCACACAAGTGGGAGAGGGTAGCAGTTAAGACAACAGGTACCTGAAATCAGACCATTTGGGCTCCGGTCCCTGCTCTGCAGTGCTAGATAGGTTGGATAGGTTACCTAATCCCTGTGCCTTGGACTTTTCATTTGGAAAGCATGTGATTGCAACAGCAACTTCACAGAATGGCTCTGAGATCAAGGGAGTGAAACATGCAGTGTGCTTAGAACAGTTCCTAGTTCATAATAAACACAAAGGAAAAGCAGGTTGTCGCTGTTGGCAAAGGAGGGTGGAACAGTAGATAGAAGAGAGAATGTGTGTGCACACAGAACAGTAGATAGAAGAGAGAATGTGTGTGCACACAGAGAGAACAGTAGATAGAAGAGAGAATGTGTGTGCACACAGAACAGTAGATAGAAGAGAGAATGTGTGTGCACACAGAGAGAACAGTAGATAGAAGAGAGAATGTGTGTGCACACAGAACAGTAGATAGAAGAGAGAATGTGTGTGCACACAGAACAGTAGATAGAAGAGAGAATGTGTGTGCACACAGAGAGAACAGAAGATAGAAGAGAGAATGTGTGTGGACACAGAACAATAGATAGAAGAGAGAATGTGTGTGGAACACAGCAATTATCCCAAGATTTGGCAAAGATGGAGAACCATTTTTACCACTACTTTGTCTGGATCCCGAAGTCATAAGACCTTGTACACCTCTTCACAAAAAGACCTTCATAAAAAAACCAAATTCAGCCAAGTGGTGGTGGTACATGACTTTAATCCCAGTACTTGTGAGGCAGAGGCAAGAGAATCTTTGTGAGTTCAAGGCCAGCCTCGTCTACAAGAGCTAGTTCCAGGACAGACTCCAAAGCTACATGGTGCAGGAGAATTGTCTGTATTCTGTAAATCATGTTCTAAATAAATGCTGATTGGCCAGGCAAAACGTATAGGCAGGAAAATCAGACAGGAAGTAGAGGTGGAGCAAAGAGAACAGGAGTATTCTGGGAAGCTTCCTCTGCCACTCCTGCCCAGATGACCAAAGAAGCAGGATGTGATCTACCCTGCTGAGAAAGGTACCAAGCCATGTGGCTAACATAGATAAGAATAATGTGTTAATATAACTTATAAGAGTTAGCAAGAAGCCTGAGCTAAGGGGCCAATCAGTTTATAATCTTATGGAGACCTCTGTGTGATTTTCTTTGGGACTTGCCAGCTGTGGGAACGGGGCAGGACAGAAAATCCAAACGAGCAGGCCCTCATGTTACAGCTACAGAGAAATTCTGTCTTGAAAAACCAACAAAACAAAACAAAACAAAAACAAAAAGCCTAAAGTACATAATAAAATTCTCTGAAGGCAGAGTCAAGACAGTGTTCTCACTAAGTGGGTGTAATCACTCTGAGTACATAGCTGTGAGGGTTTTTTTTTTTAAAGTAATGATAGGGGAAGGGTATTTAACTAAAACTTAAGCCCCAATGAAGAATGAACATAACTTCTAAAATGCATAGCCTTTTCAACTCATTTATATTTTTTTTCAAGAAATTACAGAGTGATTTTTTTAAAACCAAGTTAAATACAAAGATCAAAAGGCTAAATTTCTACAATTAGCAACAATCACTGTTAATGTTTTAGACATCATTCCAAAAACCTTTCTAATCATAAAGGTATCTCACCCAGTTGGGATCTTCCCATTCAGGGATTCAGTAACTTGATTTTACCCCCATTCAATAAGGCATAGGAGGGGTCCATAATACTGAGCTCACACTCCAGTTGTGTCATTTGTACCAAGAGCCTCTTGTGTACACCAGCATTCAATTAACCCATTTCCTCTTATTAGATAGCTAAGTGGGGTTCAAAGTTTGTAATAGTATAAATAGCAAGAGAAGGATATGCCTTCTCCTAACATATTTTTCCCCATACTTAGATATGGGATATCTGGTCAAAAACTAAGTACAGGTTCTGGAGAGATGGCTCAGTAGTTACGAGCACTTGCTGCTCTTGCAGAGTATTGAGGTTCAATTCTTAGAACCCACATAACGGCTTACAAATCATCACTAACTCCAGTTCCAGTGTATGCAACATCTTCTGGCCTCCAAGAATACCAGGCACATATACTGCACATACATACATGTAGATAAAATACTCATACATGGAAAATAAAAATAAGCAAATCCTTAAAAACTTGAGTATGATCCATATTCTGATTAAACAGCTAATAAGACAGCCTGAGCTAATAGGCCAACCAGTTTATAATTAATGTAGGCCTCTGTGTGTTTCTTTGGGACTGAATGGCTGTGGGACTGGGCAGGACAGAAATTTCTATCAACAAATTGCGCCAACATGGACAACTAAACCCACTTAAAATCTGAGAGAGTTTGGGAAGGAATTCTAGGCACAAAAAGAACAGAGTTAAGGGGGCTGGAGAGATGGCTCAGAGGCTAAGAGCACTGGCTGCTCTTCCAGAGGTCTTGAGTTCAATTCCCAGCAACTATATGGTGGCTCAAAACCATCTATAATTCGATCTGGTCCCTTCTTCTGGCATGCAGACAGAACATGGTATACATAATTAATTAATTAATTAAAAAAGAACACACACATACACATGCCTAAATTAAATAAACAAACACACAGCTGTCATTTAAAAAAAAAGAACAGAGTTAAGCATGGCTTCTTGGTGGCAGCATTTTCTCAGGTGGGCTCTGTTTGCTAGAAGCAAGCAATCTTATTTAAGAGAGGCTTCCTGATTCAGTTTTAGTTGCAAAATCCTTGCAGCTCTTTTAAGAGGACCCACCACTAAACACTTAAATGGTATTTATGGATAGCTGACAACATGCTTCTTGGTGGGGGCAGGGACTTTGAAACTCCATAGAGTTGTAGCAATAAACATGGCTCCTGCCAGTACCTCTGCCATGATGCTAGACTCTTAGAAAGCTAAAGAATGGGGTGGATCCAGCCGTCAAAGCCACGGCTTTAATCCTAGCCATATGGCTTAGCAAATTAAAGACTCATGAGGTAAGAAAAGGAGAAATGTACAGTAAAGATAAATTCAGACCAAAAAAACCCTCTAGATGGTTTACATTGTGTTTAAAATATATGTTGGCTTGAGAGAGAAAAGAAAAAGGATAAAGTCCTTAAAAAGAGAGTAGTTGGGTGTGATTGCACACACCTTTAATCCCAATACTTGGGAGGTAGAGGCAATCGGATCTCTGTGAGTTCAAGCACAGCCTGGTCTACAGAGTGAGTCTAGGACAGCCAAAGATACACAGAGAAACCATGTCTCAAAAAAAACCCCACAGAAATTAAAAATAAAAATAAAATAAATAGAATTTAAAATAAAGCCACATAAAGATGGAAAATACACAGAAAATCTGGATACTATATGCTATTATGTTGTCTTTGAATTGTTTGACAGCTGAGGAAGGAGCAACAGCTGCTAAAAGACACTTGACTATAAATTCTGATGGATTAATCAAACATATATTTTGAAAATGTCTTGACTTCAAAATTTAAGTCAAAAGATATGTTACTTTGGAGAAGAGGTTTTGCTTTTGTTACCACAGGAAATGAGAGGTTGTGGATTCACTCTGGGTTAAAAAAAAAATCATGTTTGATCAAG